CGGTTGAGGAGCTGTGGTTGCCGGTTGAGGAGCTGTGGTTGCCGGTTCAACATCTAACATGTTTCCTCCTGTGTGTTCAGAAGATGGAGGAGGACGACGGTGTGATCCAGTCTGATGACACAGACACTAACTGTGAGTACTCATGATGTGTATTTTCTATGTTTCAGTATCACAATTCATAAACATGTACTCCTTTGCGCTCAGGCTCTCTGGTCGTCAACGGCAACACTTCCTGCTCCACAGCCAACAGCAAAGCGAGCTCAGACTCCACCTGTTCCTGGTTGGACGACAGGTGTAATGGCCACGCCCCCGGACGGTTCTCCAGCCCCACCTCCGGCCTATCGGGCTTCTCCAGCTCTGTGATGTCAGCGACGTCTGAATCAGCACTTTCTACTCAGTCAGGATACTCGAGTGGACGAGATGGTAAGAAAATACTATGGAGTATACTACAGTGTATACAGTACACACAGTATATATACACAAATAAACTACAGTGTATACAGTACACAGATACAATATAATAGTGATATAATTTAAATAAGTTATAATAATAATAATAATAATAATAATAATAATATTATGATAATGAAGTAACATTTGTGTGTTTCAGTGTTCAGTGCCACAGACTTCGTCCTCAGTCCTCTGGATCCTCAGAATGGAAACAAGCTCAGAGTGAAGATCGCTGATTTAGGAAATGCATGCTGGGTGGTGAGACATCTTCATCACTCTTCCTCTGTAGAGTCAGTATGAACCAATCAGACGTCTCCTCTTCTGAGGGTGCTTCTCAAGTCTCTTAATTGCATCCCCGTTTCCCTGACTTGGGTCCTTTCCTTGCGTCTTAGTCCCTCCCACCAGGGATGCATGGAGGAAACCATGCGAGGAGAGAGGAACGAGGAAATATGTTTTAGGAGACATGACACGTCCTTTCCTCAGCTGCGTCACGTGAAGCGACGTCTGTTTCTGATGACGGTGCTGATGATCACAGCTGATCAGCTGTCAGTCGGCGTTAACAGCTGGAGAGACTTTTGATAAGTTAGTGTGTGTTCACATGATCACTGTACTTAATAACAGTAACTAATAA